GCATGCTGTGCGGGAGGTTGTGTGGAGATGAATTAAGCTCAGACCCAGGCTCCAGGCCCTGGAGCGGTGGCAGAGGAAGCGGGCATGGGTGACCGGAAGCTGGCGTGTGTGTGACATGCTGTCAGGGCCTCCCAGCGAGGGCAGCTGTGCAGAACGTCACACTTGACTTCTCTTCACTCTGATGGATGAGTTACAGGTTTCTCTGGCAGGAATAGGGCATGGAGTCTGAGCAGTGGGGATTCTAGGAGATGGTGTGTGGTGGGGATTGGCTGAAGCAGGCCCGAGGGGCTCCATGTGTCAGGCCACACAGGGCAGGGGAGCAGCTGACTTGGCCTCAGGAGCAGGGAGCCCTTGAGCAGTGAGGAAACCTAAACTCGGTGTAGACCCTTAGAACAGTAAGAGCTGTGGATGAGAAGGGGCCGAGCCTAAAACCTAATGAGGTTCACTTGGAAACCTTGTCCCAGCGGATTTAAGGGATACCTTTAGCTTCTTTTATTGTCATAAATGAAGCCCAGGCTCTTTAGAATGTTTTAATAAGAGCCCCTGTTTAGGAACAGGCTGTCTTCCTACCTGTCTTCGTGTGCCTGCTGTCAGGAGGCTTCAGTGCCCACGGCACTGCTTTGGGATGGTGCTGGGTCTTGGGAAGTCCTGCCCTCAAACAGCTGTGGCCTCTGGGGAAGAACAGCCTTTCTTTGTGAAATGGGATTAAAGCCTCGCAGAGTGTGGAAGTGAAGTCTTCCAAGGTGCTTTGTGAATGTTCTTCTGTGTATGTGTAAGGGGAGGTGTGGCTGCAGCTGTGGCCAAGTGGCCTGCAGGGTGAGTGGGGTGCTGCTCTGGCTTCTTGGTTCCTGCCTTACACCTTGGGAAGAAGGCAGAGAGGACAGTGGGCCTCACACTGGAGCAGCATTGGCCTCAGCTGGGAAGTCTCAGGAGGGTAGCCCCTCAGGTGTGTTCCCTGCTGTCCCCGGGAAGGCACCTCAGCCCTGCTGTCTGGGGGCCACAGGGATGGGGCTGGGGCCTGAGGACCGGCAGTGTGGCTTAGCTGCCATTCTGTCTCCTGCCTCGATCTTACAGACTTGGGAGGGCTGGGGACCCTGGCATGCTGCTGGGCTGTTCCCCATGCTGGCTCAGGAGCTGTGGCTGGAACGAGGTCATCAGAGGGAGTGTGAGCTGGGGCCCAGGCTGGGCTGGATCCTGGTGCAGACCTTGTCATGAGTCAGTGTGCATGCTCGACCCCTGCACCCACCATGGGAGATCTGATGGGGCCGAAGGTTGAGGCTTTGAACAGTCTGTGTGCAGGAGTGGTGTGCGTGCGCACGTGTGTGTGTGTGTGTGCATGCGTGTTACATGCTTGCAAGTGTCTGTCAGTGTGTTTTCCCATGATGTTTACTACGTGGACATTGTTCGGGGCGACTCTGCCCTCCCCATCTGTGCTGTACCAAGCAGTGCACACTGACTGGGCAAACCTGCCAGGCACTGACCGCAGCTGTAGTTCAGCTCAGGGGAGCTGTTTCTCCTTGGCGTTAGGGCAGGATTTTGTTCGAACAAGGCTCTGACCAGAGGGGAAGAGTGACGCTCGGTGAGGGGTCCTCTAAAATCTCTGCACAGTGATGAACTGCGACACTCTCTGTGCAGTTTCTTCAGTCAGAAAGAGTCGGTGCGGTGTCCCAGGCTGCCCGATTCGGGCTGGGCTTGTAGGTAGTCTGCATGCTCCCCCAAAGTATGAGAGCCTTTTAGAACTCTCAGGCCTAAGGAGTGTGGTCCCTTGAGTTGTGTTACATAGCACATCTTCCTTTGAATTCCTTTTTCTTATAGAACAAGTGTGAATTTTTTTGAAATTTACACTTTTAAAAAAATTTAATGTTTTATTTTTTAAATTAAAACATACTTGACTAGAATACAAAATAAGGCATGGGTGTTAGTGTGAAAAAATGGATTAGCTGTTTGGTTACACTTGCCAAAAATATAGAAAGGGTGGAAAATTACCAGAATGAATTTAGAGAAGGTAATTTAAAATATTCTTTATTGAAGGCAAGAAAAGCTCTAGGAATGCTTTCAGATGTTTGCCCCTTAATAACTTTATTCTTAAATTTCATGGTCCACAAGACAGCATTTCCCTGGAAATTTCAATTTTCAAATGACACATACAAATATAATGTACTTCAATTTTAAATATAATAATGTAATTCAATTTTAATAATCATAATACTTTTATGTAAGAATTAATAGCCTCTATATTATATACTGACTGTATTAGTGGATGAATTGCAGTTTTTCTTTTATGTTTAAAATAAAGCAAGAGGAGGAGTTGGGATTCCTTATGGTCAGGAGGCTCTTCCTTCCACTCTGTTCTTTTTCCGAATACTTTTTTAATGCTAGGTTATGGCTGGGCATGTGATAGTCATTATCAGTACACGTGTGCAGTACTAATCATTACCTGTCTTGCGGGGAAGGTGTATTTACCTTAACACATCTGGACTTTTATTCTCTCCTTGTCCTCCTGTCTCCGGCTCCCCTTCCCATTTGTAAATGATCTGGTCTCTGTTTCCTATTGTCCATCTCTTATTTTGCTTTTTAAATTATTTAAACTTTGAATTTCTCATAAGGTGCAGAGGCCCTAAGTGCAGGTCTCTGGACAGAGTTCCTGGGGTTCCTCCGTTCTCTCCTGCTCTGGGCCCTTGAGCAAGTGACTCAACCGCTAGGGACCCCTGTGCCACCACCCCCTCCTCATGGGCAGGACAGTGGCAAAGATCCCCTGAGGCAGTGTAGGTGCAGCGTTGTCCAAGTTTTGCTGTGTAGAAAGCATTCAGGTGTTACCAGGGAGGCTGCGTGGAAAGGCACGAAGGGATTCAGAGCTGGAGCACGTTCTAAATGGACTCTGGAGACCGACCAGGTGCGATACCCAGGCCAGGATCACCAAGGAGTCTCTGTTGAGAATACTGGTGCTGAAGGAGACCAATGAAGGAGTTCAGGCACCAGAGCCCCCAGCGACATCCCTTTGTCTCCTGAGAGACGCCGAGGACCACTGAAGGTCGGGAGAGGTGAAGTCAGGGCTAACAGTGGTGTGGCAGGAAACGAGCTGCTCTTCAGTGCTCTCATTCTCCAGAGGTACTTAGTATTCCTGAAGTTTGGTCCCATTGTCATTGTCAGCATCAAACAGGAAGAAGAAACAGAAGCAAGATTATAACTTACTAATGTTGTCAAATGAAGGATCGATGATTAACTAGTTGAGTTAATAATTTTGTATACGAGGGCTGGGGATGTAGCTCACAAGCACAGCGCCTGTCTGGCAAGTGCAAGGCCCTGAGTATGATCCCCGGTACTGGGAAAAAAAATTGAGTATAGAGCCAAATATATATATATTACAAAATAAATACTCTTCCAAGGTGTATATCCAATAGTTATAAAAACAAAAAGCCTATGGATCTCGTCCTAAAGATTGTTAAACGAATCACTTAAGCATGCATATCTGGCATCCTGAATCCGGGATCTGGAGTGCTTCAGTGTCTGAAACTGAGTGCTGAAGCGGTGTCACGAGTGAAGAACCCACGCTGGTGCTGCCTGAGGGACCGCTGAAGATATGCGTGCTCCCCTGCGTGCCGCGTCTGCCCAGTGTGAGCCTTCGTGCGGCTCCCTCTTCTAGGCGTCTCATTCTACACGTGCAAATATCCGAACATTAAAAAAATTTGAAATTTGAAACACTTCTGGTCCCAAGCATTGTAGATAAGCATTGCCATAAGATGCTGACAGGCATTTTCTCAAGGACAGCTGAAAAGCAATTCAGATAATTGAGGTATATACCATTTTATGGATGCAGCAGCTGTGTCATGTAGATTTTTCCTGGATTCATTAATGAAATTCTAATTTCAAAAGGGTTATAGAAGTATGTGTGACATGTTCTTAGTAGGATAAAGGTGTCATTTACAGTTAGTCATTCAGTGAAAAATGGTTTATTCAGAAAATAATAGTTGAATCACGAAAATCATAAAGCCCAAGTTTTATCAGGGTGAGGGAAAGCTTTAAAGGTAGAAACCAGAAAGGGGGTAAGCAAATACACTTTTTTCAAAGAAATAAAATTTGAGAGAATCATAATATAGCTTATAAAAGTCCTGTGACAAAGTTAATCATTTGCAACTTTGATGATCTAGAAAGAATAGCTGCCTTTCGTAGCTGTCACAATCTGCAAAGCAAAATGAATTTGTAAATAAAAACGTAAATACTACTTTGAAAATAAAGCAGTGAGGTCTGAGCTTTCTGATTTACGTTGCCAAGAATATTTCCATGGTTTGATTCATTAGGAGTTGTTAATTAGAATCTAGTAATGAGATGTATCTTGTGATATAAGAAAATCAAATGGCATTTTCTGGATTCATCTTGATATGTTTGTACACAGGTAGAAAGCAAACTGTTGATTTTCAAGTGAGATGATCTTATTGTTAACTATTTTCCATTGCTTACCTTTTCTTTTTTTTCTCTCCTTTACTCCCTGCACTTTGTGTTTGTTTAAAAGCAGGAGTTAAGTTTATCATATAAATTTAGATTGTAGTAGTTTAGAAAAGGTTGCACTCCGCTCTTTCGTGTATGTCCTCTTGCCCACGCTCTTACCGATGGGCCCTCTTTTCTTGGTTCCGTTTGTGGTGGCTTCCGTCTGAAGGTTCCTCTGTGGTATCTGGCAAATGGTGGGGCTCAGGGAGTTTGCAGAATGAGTGAGTGAGTGGGAGTTGCCCGTGGATGCCCTCGTCTGTGATCAGCCTGTCTGCTGATATTTCTCTCATTGAGTTTATTGGTACTTCTTAGGTATACAGCACAGTACATTCATTGTTGGCCTCTGCTATTGTGAGCTTAGCCCCTGGCTTCTTTCAAGAGTCGATATTTTTTCTCACTTGGTCCAGCATTTTCACATCCCAGCCTCTGGCAAGCTTGTCTTTGAGATGTGCTTCTGTAAGTTGAAAATGTTTCTTCATGCTAACTTGGTAATTTAAATTTCTTTTTTCTTCCAGCTGCCTTTGCAGCCGTGTTGCACTGGTAAGATACCTTTTTCTCTAATGGTATATTTTATGCAAATGTTTATAACTTTCCAAAACTATTTCCTATATATTTAAAGGAACAATTTTACTGTAGTAAATATGGATATGTATTACATGTAGCACAATAGTCTGAAAAAGTTAAATTGATAAATGAGGGTTAGAATAATAAAATTTTTAATGAAAAATAGGCTTATTATTAAGGCTGTATTTGAAACTACTTCAGTTAACATTAATAGTGTTCATGTTGAGAGGAAGATTAAGTTTTTTAATATTCTGGATAGGAAGACATATGAATTTCATTAATCAGGCATTTCTGAAATGGTAACCCTGTGACATTTATAGTTAAAGCTATACGTTCATTGTATTTTATTAAAATGTTATTCTGGCCCTTTCTAATTTTAAAATCTCATTTGAATGTTTCTTGTGGAGAGAAATTTTAATAAAAATTAAAACATAATGAGTGGAAAGCAAATATATGTACTGTTGTACCAGCTTTATTACAGTATCATCTACAAATTAATAGATGTTTTTATCTTTGCTTTAATAGGATGTGTAAATCTCGGCGCTGTTGCTTTGTTTTCCAGGAGCCACATAACTCACCTCTTTGAAAATGACCGTCACTTTTCTCACCTCTCTACTCTGGAAAGGGAGATGGCTTTTCGCACCGAAATGGTTAGTTACCCTGCAGTGTTTTATTGCAGTACTTTTAGGAATCTGGGACGTTTAAGCTTTTTATTGTGGAAAGTTATTCCGAGGTAGAGAGGGTGGAGGCCCTCTACCACCTTCAGCTTAAGCAGTGGGCGAAGGCACACTGTCCCCATCACCACTGCCCTGTGTCTCTTCAGGGAGCTCGAGACGGCATTTCATGTGTGAACACAGTCATCGTGTCTTGGAACACAAGACTGGTTAGTTGTTAGTCATGGTGCCATTGTCACACTTGAAGACAGTGAACGGTGTCTTAACGTCACCAAATACAAACCATCGCTTGACTGAACCTGCAAGTACTTTGAAACATCATGTAGTTGGACCAGGATCCAGGCTACACATTGCGTGTAGTTGACGTATCTCTTAAGTCTAATCTGTAGATTTCTCTTCCCTTTTTCCACTTTTTTGTTGTTGTTTTGTTTTGCTGTCATCTATTCATTAAGGAACCCAGGACATTTGTCTACACTAATGTAGAGTTGTCTACATTAAATGATGCTGTTTTTTTAAGAGGCCTTTTCCCCCCTTTTTTTTATACCAGGAATCGAACTCAGGACCTTGAACTTGCTAGGTGGGTGCTGTACCACCGAACTACATCGCTAGCCTTAATTTATCTGTCCCAAGTTTCCTGAAAATTGGTAGATTAGAATTTTGATAACCGCCTTTTTTTTTTTTTTTTCTAGTAGGAATGCTTCTCTGTGGAGCTATTCACCTTTTTTTTTTTGATAGTTGAAATTGATCTCGGGACCTAGCCCTGCGTATAGGATATTGTTTTCAGACAGGGTCTACCTAAGTCACTGAATTGCTGGGGCTGGGCTTGAACTTGTGATCTTCCTGCCTCAGGCTTTCAGAGTGCTGGGATTACAGGCATGTGCCACTCTGCCTGGAGGGTGCTCTGACCTCTTTTTGCCTCATACCACAGCAAACCAGGCCCAGTTGTCTATCTTTCTGAGATGTTAAATTTGGGTGGCGAGGTTAGGGAGTGAGTGCTGAGCCCTCCTCAGAGCCTGGCCGCAGGAGTTCGATTGGGATTGCTGGATGGTGCTCATCTACTCCATTGTTTTCCTGTCCTCGTATAACTGTAAGGAAGGACTTTCCCATAGTACATTTGGTTTCTCTGAGGTACACTTCATCAGGTAACAGGGACACACACGAGTCTTTGTATTTACCATTTTCTAAAAACATGGGTTAGTTTTCTAGCACCTTCTGTCCATGAACAGTGGAGTCCCTCCTTTGGGCTCTTGCTCTGATCTGATGGGTTTCAACCTGGCCTGCAAATGCTGCCGTGTAGGGCAGTGAGAGCCTGGCGGTGTTTTCCTGGGTGTTCTACACCTCTGAGCTTTGCTCTCTGGCCTGGCTGCCCCCAGGTTCCCAGGCCCCCACTGCTGCTGGCGGTGAGAGAGGGGTGAGAAGTCTCGGTCCACAGATGTACACTGCCCCAGGGCCGCAATCTCACCCAGGCGTTTCAGTGAATGTAATTAGGAAACACTTTCTTGATACAGAAAATAACTCATGAATTTATGTTCCCATTTTAAAGTTTATATTCAGGATTTTTTTTTTTACTTGATAAAAAATTTATATCTTTTTAGTCTAGAGAATCTTGGTTTCAAATTACTCATTATTTTAGGGATAAAATTGCCAGAGTGACTATTAAAAATCAAATTACCAAAACTAATGTAAGGTTTTCTTGTGGTTTATTTTTACCTTAGTACATATTCCCCTGGAGTTGTATAGTAAAATTGCTTTAAGGTCACTTGAAATCTTCCATCTTGGTAAATTTGGTTTTTTGTTTTTGTTTTTAGAGACCCAGCCTCCCTATGCAGTTCAAGCTGACCTTGAACTCACTATGTAGCCCAGGCAGGCCTCAAACTAACTCACAGGGAGCCTCCTGGGTTAGCCTCAGATTGCGGGTGTGCACCACCACACCAGGCTTACTCTTTATTTTTTAAAATATTTAATAATTGATGTATTTCGCTTTGTTAATACACATGACATTTATATGCTTACAAAATCAAACCTACAAAACTGGGTAAGTCTGGTAGTTTCCCAGGGCTGACATAATAAAGTCACCAAATTAGGAGGCCCAAACCAGCAGAAGTTATTTTCCTTCAGTTCCAGGGTCAGAGCTGAAATGAAGGCTTTGATGGGGTGCCTAGTGCCAGGCGGGAGGAGAGACCCTGCCCTGCCTCTGCCCAGTGCTGCCCGCCTGGCTGTCTGGGCCCGTGGCTGTGTCATCCACCCCTCTGCCTGTTGCTATGTGGCCGGCTCCCATGTGCTGCTCTCTGTGGGCCTGAGTCCACCTTGATCTGGCTTGCCCCATCTTCATTTGATTATGTCTGAGAGGACCTCGATTCTGGATCGGGTCGAATTCCCAGGTTCGGGTGGGCCTGAAAGTTTGGCAGACGCAGTTCAGCTCCAAGTGGGAGGAAATACAGTTTGACTAGTGTTATGAGTGATGAGAGCTAATGCCTTGTAGTGTCCTGACCCTTTATTTCCAGTAAATGCCTGGGGAGGCAATTGTGTCTGTATTTTTAATTCTAAAGAGTTTGGCCACAGCTGGTGGGGCAGGGCCAGGTTCCACCGGATAGAAGTGGCACTTGTGTCCTGTTTGTCTGTCCTTCCAGTGCCCTTTACGCTTCTCCCTGTGTGGCTCCAGCCTCCATGGTCTTTGTCCCACGTGTCACTCCCTTGCTGTCTTTCCAGAGGAGGTGTCGGGATGAGCAGCAGCCTCTCCTTCAGAATAGCACTGCTCCCCACCTGAGGTCCCACAGGGTGTCATGCTGAGCTGATGGAGGAGAATGATCTATACAATTATTTCTGAAAGAAATTTATATGTAGCACATCAATATGCAGCGTTCAGGGTATTTGCATACTTGCATATAAATCTGGAGGAAAGATGATTGATGGCATTTTTTGCATTCAAGTAAGCAGCTAGGAGGACGTGTTTTTGGCTTGGGAAGACTGCTTAGTTCATGGTAAATTTTAGTTCCTTAAACCACTCTTCATAAGATAAGCTTTTATAATATTTACATTAGCACGAGTGTTAGAATTTTCTTGATGAAATAGACTGAATTTTATGTAAATATGCATTCGAAATGTTGACACTGTACTTAAAGCTAGTTTGTACTTATTTCAATTAAGACAAGGTTATTCTGAAATATGTGCCTTTTTGCAGCCTAAGAATTCATCAGTGATCAGAAACCTGTGAAAATAGTTGTAGCTATTGCTTGCTTGAGTGCTCTTTTTTTTTATTTTAAAAAATGTGTATTTTAAGTGTTCATAAAGCTAAGTGAAGGCATTATGTCCCTTTTATTATAACTGGAGCATATCCTTATTTCAGGGACTGTATTATTCTTACTTCAAGACCATCGTGGAAGCCCCCTCGTTTCTGAATGGAGTGTGGATGATTATGAATGATAAACTGACAGAATACCCCCTGGTCATTAACACATTGAAAAGGTTCAACCTATACCCTGAGGTAAATTACTTTCTCCAGCTGTGATGTTTTGCTTTATCATAACTCTTTTTGTACTAAATGCTGATTTTCAATCTCAGATCTAATTAAGCATCTTAAGTTTCATTTCAGTTTTTAAAGGAAAATGTGTATCTTGGGGAGGGATATGGAGTGCATCTTGTTGGAGGTTTTGAGAGCCTTGGTCGAACCGTGGGAACACTGTCTGGGTGCCCGCCACTCCTGGCCCTGCCGTGTTTGCCATGTCAGCGAGGGCTGTCATCCTGGCCTGCCTCACACTGCCCTGTCTGAGGCCCCTCTTTCCTGAGTGGCCTTGGGTGGGTGTGCAAGAGCAGAGGGAGGGAGGCTGTGACGCCAGCTGTGTGTTTCGGCTCATAGTACCCTCCCTGTGTTTATTTGGCTCAGCCTGGGCCTTGTGTCCCCGCTTAGCGTTCCGTGGCGCCAGAGGACTCTCGTGGCTCTGCCTCAGCTGCCCTCTAGGCCCTCACCAGGCGGAGGAGTTTGGCCACTAGGTTCAGGGGTTCATGCAGACGCGTGCTTTTGAGCACTGTGTGCAGCCGTAGGCAGAGTGACAGTGACGTCACTGGAGTGCCACCCCAAGGTGCAGATCGTTTCTGTGGTCATTCGTCATCTAGGAACATTCATGACTGTCTTCCTGGTCATCTCTGCTGTTGTGTGTGGTCTGCCCTTGGCTGTTTAGCCCAGCTTTTGTGGAAAATCTGATTGTTTTCAGTCTTTTTTCTAAGTAAAGTTGCGGTGAAGATCCTTGAAGCTAAATCCTTAGCCACATCCTTGTTTTAAACTAAAAATTTGTTGATCTGGATCCATTTCATTCAGCAGAATATATACTTTAATGATTTGGACACATTGCCAAAATGCCTTCCCTGTGGGCTAATGGAAATCTTATCTGCATCCTTGTAGGTTTGATAAAGAAACTGTAATTACTCATTGTATTTTTTTCGCTCATATACATATATCATATATATACATATATATATATATATATATATATATACACACACACACACACACACACACACATTTCAGTGCTATATTAATATAATGCATTTTCACTTTTAAAAGTAATTACTTGCTCATGTCCTCTGCATATATTTCTGTTAGAATTTTGTAAAAGCTGATTATTTACAGCATGTCAGTATTATGCTGTGACATTAAAACATTTTCTTTAGTTTCCTGTTTGCCATTTACCTATGTATATATATTTTTGCAGTAGAAATATTGTATCTGAGTCTTGTAATTTACATGTTCTTGTTTATACATATATGTAAAAATCTTCATTCCTTATAATCCTAATTAATTTTTTATATTTGCTTTTTAAATTTATTTGGAATTCATTTTGCTCATAGTGTGGGACAGGAATTGAAACTTGAGATTTTAAAAACTGGTCTCTGTAACCCAACACTGAGAGTGGTCCATCCGCTCTCCGCTGTCTGGTGGCTTTGTGTGCACGTCACTGCACTTGCACACTGGCAGGCGGGCGCTCAGTATTGCCTGGGCAGGTCCCGGAGGTGGATGGGGCCTGCGGTGCGGGCTTGCCTGCCTTGTGGGGAGGGGCTCGGGCTCACGTTTGAGGGAGGAAGGAGGAGGAGGAGGAGGCAGGAGGCTGGAGGCTGGGCGTCCGCAGAGCCTCCTGTCCCGCTGCTGGGGTCACTGTGGAGCTGTCCGCCTGACAGCAGGGCCCCCACAGCCTGTGCAGCTCTTTCTGGCCTTGCAGGGCCCCTGCTGGTGCAGCTTGCCCAAGTGCCAGCCTGGCCTGGAGCCTCCACAGGGCGGGGTCTGCTGCTGGCCAGCCTCGTTCTCATTGGTCCTCCATCGGTACCACACTGTCGTGATTATTTTAAGGAATTCATTTTAGCATTTGTTAGGATGTATTTTGATGAGTTGTCACCTTTAGTTTTCTTCTAGATAAATTTTAGACTCTTGATACTTTGATTAGGATAGTTTAATGCTTATGAACTAATTTGAAGGTGGATTTATACCTGGAAGAATTAGGTCTCTTCAAGTAGACACAGTATTTCTGTTCATATCTTCATTTACATCCCTTGGTAGAGTTTGGTAGCTTTTGAAAACGTGCATCTTACAAATTTATACTGTATTTTATTTTTACTGTGGGTGAGCAGTGAAGAATCTCTGTAGCAGCTGAGTCTCGTGTAATGAGATAAAAAGGCAGCCAGGTGGTTGACACAGGAAAGGAAAATTTGAAGATTATGAAAACGTCTCCAGAATATTCTAGTAATGAAAATTCTTTAGCACGGTATCTTTCTCACGATGCATCTGTTTCCTTAATAATAGGTAATCTTGTCCAGCTGGTACCGGATTTACATCAAAACAATGGACTTCATTGGTGTTCAGACCAAGACCTGTTGGACAGTTACCAGAGGAGAGGGACTCAGTCCTGTCGAAAGCTGCGAAGGTGCGTCGCTTCTGGAGCGCTGCCTCATAGCTGTGCAGTGTGACCCAAACTGGTGGGAGACATGGTCACATTTGACTGTGCCGTGTCCTGCATGTCTGAAGTTGGGGCCACGCAAAGCAGGCTTTGCCTGTGACCCTGGGGTCACGGCCTGTGCTGGAGAACTCAGGTGGCAGGGAGGGGAGGGAGGGGA